TATTTTTATACGTTTTTGAACAAAGGTGATGAGAGTATCAAAATTCGGAATAGTGGATTGACAAATGTCCGCTTCAAACAATTGACGGGTGTTCGGATCTAATACACGTGAACCCAAAAAAAACAACATAAAACCCGCGAGATCTTCAACTCCGAGTAATTTTAACGTACTGACATTTTCTTTAAAAATATTTAAAAACGTGGTCAAAGCTGGTACTGATTCTTGAGCGATAGGTTTGAAAGCGAAAAGCTTGTCCAAATGAGCAGTTGCGAGCAAACGTTTATTTTCAAATCGGTCGGTGAGCGCTGCCCACGCAACGTTATAATTCGCCGCCGACAACGGAATAGATTTAATTACGGATAATGCAGAACCGGTCAGACTCTGTGACAACAACTGAAATTTGTGTATATTATCGACATTGGAATCTTCATGTACAAGCGATTTAAAACTATCACGGAACGCACACCAGTTTGTTATGGACCCATCGAACGACGGCAATTCAATTTTCGGAAGTGCACTAAACGATTGCCGAGTAGGTACCGGTTGTATGGTCGCGGTTACTTCAGACGTTCGATCAACAATTTCGCGAATTTCGTCGACAACGGCTTCGACGGTATCCATTACCGGTGAATCGATCGATTCGTATTCATCGGAACGACCGACAACGACCAATGAATTAATGATAACATTTTGTTCGGCTTGAAAACGAGAAAAATGATTATCTAAACGTTTTACACTTGCGGATAATTGTTCTCGTTTTCCAGGATCGCTCATAGATAGCCTCGCGATGTTCAAAATATCCGAAATTGATTTTTGTGCGCGGTTACGTGCAATACGCGCACATTCCAACGCTTGCTCGGCCGTTTCATTTTTTTTTTTGTTTGTCATTATCGAAAATATTAGTGCAACGTTAAAAAATACAAGAACAACTTGAAACGAACGACAACGATTTTGTGAACTAATCCGGCTCGAAGGACCAAAAAATGTGCGAAGAAGGGGGCTGCACAAGGAAGCCGGGCGACGGATGTACCTGGATGTGTGTGCACAGGCGGCAGCTACACGTAAACCGACGCGTTCGTTGTCTTCGTAGGTATAATATTCCTCGACGTTCTCTGTAGGAGGGGAGGGGACGGAGAGAGATAGTGGACTGTATAACTACAAGGACATGAATATAAGATAACTAATAACATTGAGTTCGATGGTATGGCAATGTACAGAACAATATTTATTGTTGGCGTTCTGCAATTCAAATATCTTACGTACTAGTGTTAGTAATAGTATTTGTCATGGCACGATCACAACTCGATCGGCAAAAAACTACTATAATAATTCAATATATAATAATACAAAAAAACGTATGGGTTGCGTAATGCGAGTAATAAATGTAAACAATAACAAACAAGATAATAGTGTGTACGACCTGATACGATGAAAGTTCGATGATACCACGGTGAGAGTGCGGCAACTGACCCGATTCGACGGTGAGACGGTGACAACGGACGTTGAACTGGTGTGCAGCACTTGCACCTACGTCGAACGTGACGAACAGGTACGACGACACCACGTATATGCGGCCGGTAACGACGGCGGACGAAAACACGTGGGCGCGAATGTAAATTAACAAATTCTGAGCACGGCTCGGGTTGCGGGACGGACGTCGTCCACAACGACACAACAATACAAAAAAAAAACTAGGTGAGCGCACCGCGTTCGGTGATTTCGCACTGCGTCAAGCGAACGGACGGAAACCACGTGGACGTGTAGGTGCACGGCCCGGGGCGCACAGCGAAAAACGGCGGTTATTATTTTGGCGCAGACGGCCGCAAAATAATGTAGTTCGTGTGTGTGCAGAACGACACTACACGAAAACGGACCTAACACTGTCCGAGCGGTACTTTTGGCGCAGATGGCCGCAAGGTATGAAAAAACACAAAACCGTTAAGCCGAAAAAAAACCAGGATGGCTGAGCGACGTACGACGGACGAGAGACGACGAACTTCGAAAACGATGATATAAACACGCGCGACAACGGCGAGATAAGCGTTGTATGAAGCGCGTGTGCTCGTGGTGGGGTGTAGGCCGATAACGACGAACGGTCGACCGAAGTCCGCGAGACGTGTGACGGATCCGTACCCAAAATATCCATAAAAGACTACAAACCTTTTCAATTCTTGTTTTTAATATTATACATATTATACATCGTTATAATTTAGTCGAATGTACAGAGGATATTATATTTCACATAAGAAATATTTTTTTTTTATGCGACGATGATGATGGTGAAATCACACTGTAACCATAATTATTTATTATTAACTATTCATTTGAAAATAAAATCACTTACAAATATAAACATTGGTTATGTGGATGTATGAGAAAACGTGTTTCATTTAGTTTAATTGTCATATGCATGAAGGCAGACAGAATTTTTCATGCCATAAAAAGAGGAAAGATGAACTCCTTGGTTTTATTAGACGATGCAAAATGTAAAGTTTAAATGTGAACATATATAAAATGTTAACATAACAAATATTATTGTTACAAACTTTATTGTAATTTAATAATAATATAGATAGAACGTACGTGGTCATTATATTGTTGTATTTATTTATATTACAAACTCATAATATTATTATTTATGATTTTAGGAAAATATTTAACTTAATTTTCTTAATTTTGGCTGTTTCTCTACCAGTCAAATTTATCATATGTAAGTATAGAACAAAGTTCTATAACTAACATTTTAAATACATAAAAATTAAATTAGGAATTCACTTTGCTGTCTGCGTGCTTGGAGCGTACCTCATAATTTTATTGAGTAGGCCAATGTAATGGTTGTGTTAGATTCGAATTCAAAGTACTTTTAAAAAAACGAATCCATGCAGAATCTGGGTAACAGACTTTATATTATAAGGATGCTTTATAATTTATTTATGTGACCTACTGTTGGTAATTTATTCACATATATTTGTATTAGGTATATCTACTTTTTCAGTAAACATAGTAGTATATAACAATTATTTTAATATTTCATCATACATCATTGTTATCAACATACTGACTTACGGTGTCAGTAGAATCATGGTTTATTAGATTAAAATTAGTCTAAATATATTTTCTGAATTTCATTGTGTGTAGAAAATGATAATTCAAGCAAGTAGTAGTTGAATATTTCAAGTTTTTACAGTTAATGTTTTCTGAATTATAACTTAATAACAAAACTCAATTGAGAAGGAATCGTAACTAATGAATATTGAAACTTCAAACGCCCATAGGAAATTGATGTGGTTTTATGCTACTTTTTCTTTTTTTAGGTAGAAAAAATTATGACGAATCTTGTATTACAATAAACAAATTTCTTATATCTATATAGGTATCTTAAAAAATGACCAAAATAATTAGAAGATTATTTTACCTACCTATGTCTAGAAAATTATTTGTTAAAAATTTCAAGTTTCTACGGTAATTCAATTTTTAATTATTACAAAAAAAATTACATTATCGATTTTTTGATAACTGGTATTGCGATAATATTTCCATTTTTCTGATTTTGTGTATCACAGTTATGACTAACTGTAACCTAACCAGACCACGGGACTCCGTTTGTTTCATGATGTATCGAAATTTAAAACATCAAGGTTTTTCGAATTTTAATAAAAAAAATTTTTAATTCTGTTTTAAGTTTTCAATCATGGGTAAAACAATTTGCAATAGGTACATAAAAATACAAATATTTGTCCAGACAACGCCGGGGGGGGGGGGGGTCAGCTAATAACTTATTAAGTTATAATTAGTATTAGTATAAACATTTAATCATTTTCTATATTATTGTGTTCGTAATACTAGTAATTAAGTACCTATTTAAGGGGCCTGCTCGCGATTTTTCAAATTTTCCGCAATTCTATAAAATTTGAAAATTAAATTTTATATTTTAGTTGCCACCTCAATTATAAGACTTTTCCACTAATCTACTACCCAATACCTATTTAGGGGGGGTTGATAGGGTGTATTATATCGGTCAAAACACAGTTTACAGGAAAAACTCTCACACCTCGTAGATTGGTCCGATTTCCGTAATTTTTTTTTTGTTAGATAGAGGAATATTTTTTACAGGGCGCATTGGACTTCGATTTTTGATTACGTCGCTAAAAACAAAAAATAATACAAAAACTAAAAAGTTGTAAAAATTGATTAAATTCAAACTTGTAACATAAGATTTAGAAAAATAATGTTGAAAATCCAAGTCCAATGCGCCCTGTAAGAAGTCTTCCTCTATCTAACAAAAAAAAATTACGGAAATCGGACCAATCTACGAGGCGTGAGAGTTTTTCCTGTAAGGCATGTTTTTGAGCAAAAAAACAGGTCGCGTGCAGGCCCCTTAAAAGTAGTGTAACACCGAAGTATAATTTTAAACTTTTTAATAGAAATACATATTAATGTTTCATGTTATGGGAGATAACTAGGGCCGGACTGGGTAGGGTCCGGCCCATTATCCCAAATATAATAGCGGCCCTACTCTCCGACCATAGGCGTAATTAGTTGGGGGCCAAAGGAAGCTTAGCCACCAACATTTTTTTGCCCCCCAAATAATATACCTAATGGTATGTTATAAGAGAGAGCCATCTGAGATTCATTTATGATTTATTTGTTATAGAAACTGGAACCATTTGAGTTTTTTTATATTTGTTATTTAGGTTGGTCCTTTATACATTATTGTCCTTTGTGTCATTGTAGTTCTTTATAGTATAATATTAAATATGTGTTAAGTAAAAATTATAATTGAGTGTACAAATGGACAATTTTCATTCTGTTAATTGTTTATTCAAATAAAAGTACCAATTGAATATTAAAAGCATCTGTATTTGAAATTTAATATCAAAAGTATGAAATTGTGACTATAGTTAATACTTTAGTTATCTCCATTATCTTGATATATGCATATACCAAGCTAAATAAAAAAACAATACAAATAATTAAATTATTCTAAAAAGTATAAAATGTCAAGATAAAAGTTTTAATAAAAGCGATGAAGAATTTTTTATGATTTCCAACACATCTTGGAAATCAACCTCTTCCAAAACTTGTTTTTCTGCCGACATCATCATAAAGGCCTTTAATCGTTCTTGGTTCAATGAGGAACGTAACCGATTTTTTATAATTTTAAGACTGCTAAATGCACGTTCACAGTTAAATTGACTCACTGATAAACTTAAAACAAATTCATATGCAGCATATAAAATTGTGTAAGCAGTAGAATGCATATTTAACGAGTAGAGTAGTTTTTGAACGCAGATCAAAGTATCAAACATTTAGAACGGTCATGATTTGATTTTGATGATTGTTTATTTATATTGATTGACCAGTTTAAAAGTTGAAAGTTAACATTTGCGTTATGAATTATGATTATGAACAATATGATATGGATTTATGAACTTTTAAGTATTTAAATACTAAAATTTAAACAATAACACAAGGAAATCTATTCACATTATCATATTTTGATAACGAAATTGGCTGGCAATAAATACTAGTACCCATGATTATATTTTAATATTTACTTATGTACCTACCGATATAATTGTACTAACTAGGCACCGGCCCAAAACCCAGTCAAAGACAGCGGCCCACTGTCCTCTAGGACAGTAGACCACTGAGTCCGGCCCTGGAGATAACTAATATTTTTATTTAATTTTATCTAATATTTTGGAATGGTTAATTATTTGTATGAGTTGAACATTCTCCATTTGCATTGGATATTGTATTTCTGTAGTATTGGTGGTAAACAATGCGGTTTGGACCACTTACTGAGGAGAATACGGAAACCTGCATCACGAGTATGACCTTGAACGTAAAATTAATTATGAGCCGCGTGTTTTAGTGTTTGGCATATTATATCACGATTAGGGTGTTTATACAGTGTTTAATATTACATCGTTTCGTTGCATATTTTTTATTTTGTACAATAATATTTCATAATGAATTCGGTATTTATCACGTGCAGTTAACATATTGTGTTTGCCATTACAGCTATGATAGTAGAACCTGAGATGTTGGCATATTTGAAGAGTGCGTTTTTCGCCGTACCTGCATGTTTAAAAACTATTTGTCTGGATTAAAATTTAAACTAATCCAATTAAAACAAGTAGTTTAATATCATTTAAAATTAATTTGGGAAATTTTTTAGGTCAAACTGAAAACTTCAAGAAACAATTTTATGCATATATATATTATAATACAAGAGATGGTTATGTAACTACTTTTTGTTTGAATAAGCAATTTTAGTTTTTATCGTTACTCACAATCTTAGTTGCTAAATTTATAGACTTTGTTGTGAGTATATATCCAATAATGTATGAGATTTAGTAAGTTTACATCGTGCAGATGGATATAATAATATTTTCTCTGCTAAAACCATCATAATATTAACGATTTCCTCCTATCCATGTTTATGTTTAATTGTTACATCAAATTTCATATAATAAAGCGTACTATAGTTTTCTCGATGTTCATTTTGTTCTTTTCATAGTAACCTATGCAAAAGCGTCATTCTTACTATTGACACTGCACAATAGTTCGAATGAAAAACTGTGATGTTCAATCCGTTTCGTCATAAGATGTAGTCGCTGTAGAACGCCTGAGCGTAATAATAATGCTATAATATTAGATATGTGGTACGAAGTTATTTTCCTCTGTAAAACTTAACCTAAACACACGATTCCACATATAACGCTTATAATGGAAATAATAATGCGAGTGGAACTGTTCGTTTAAAAAAATAAAATGCAAACATTTTCTGCTTCCGAGTAGATTAGTGTTACCTATACCATCAATTACACAACTGCTGTCTGGGGACCGGTTGTATTTTACTATAGCTTTTTGTTGTAGACTCCTGTGCACTTTTTACCGTTTTCCCGTTGTTTTTTTTCGGTTATTCGGAACAATAATAATTTTTATGGGTGGATATAACATTAAGTTTGCTAGTGTATAATGAGGATATTTTTGTTTTTTTTTTATTGTTGAGAATCGTTTGCCATGGTTTCGAAAAGCGAGAAAACGGATTGTGTGGTAAAGTAAATACGTATTTATATATTTTGTTGTGTGGGCACGGGCGTACGGTGGCATGGGGCATGCGACGTTCCGACCTTTGACGTTACGACGAAATAGTGTTAAAAAGTATGCGCACAATGCAACGGCTGAAATAATATTATTATGTTTTTGACACTTGGTTCGTCAAACTGGCAAACAATAGGGCGGTCGTGTGTACAAACGTGACGGACAATTATAATTATTAACAATTAAAGCGATTAAAAAACATTCACAAACGTAAATATGAAATAAATAATAACGAGTAGGTATTAGTGTAGTATTATACGGCGACCATAATATTATTATGTCCCATTTAAAACAGAATATAATCGAAAAACAAATCATGGACTGAAAATAATTTCATTTTTCAAACTATTTTACAACTGCTGTGTAAGATTTTTCTCAATGGTTACAGAGTTGAATATCAATGTGAAATCAAATTTTAAATGACTTCTATACAGTACATTTAAAACTTTTTTTTTTGCGTAACTTTTTTTATATTTTATTTACGACAAATCAACATTTAAAACATCTAAAAGAAGGTTAATCCCGAAAGAAAACCATTCAAACTATTAAAAATAATTACGATATACTCTGAAAAAAGTATAGGTTTTTGCAGAGCTGCTGTGTGCTGGTTATTGGAATGATAGCGTGGTAGTGTGGTACAAATAAAAGTCACGATCAGAGGGTGTAATAGATTATCAAATAATATCATGTCGTACTACAAATGTACAACGCGAGTGCGTTTAGGTACTCTGACGATAAGCAAATGGTTAAACGCTTTCGACGGGAATAAAAATCTTAGGCGGCGGGCCAGGTCGCGCGGTCGTCTGCACGATGTCTACCACTCTACCCGCATGATTAATTTTCGAGATTTTTGTTTGTGTTAATCGAACACCTTTGTTTCGCTTATATTTATATATATATACACAGTATGCACACACACACAAACACACACAGCTTGCTATAAGTTATAAATAGCTCACATCGTCGGAGTCGGCTGCCGTTCGGAGGGTGCGTTTTTCCATTAATCCGTTTTATTTCCCGTTGTCAGCCGCTTTCGAATATTCGTGATTTCAGTTTTGACTTCGATTATAGCCGGCAAATTGATTTACGATCGATGTCATGAAGCGTTTGACGAGTGGGAGGTGTCGGGCCGGGGCGTTTTTGAACAACAAGCGATCCCCCCGTCGCTGTAGCTTGGTGGACGGTGATATTATATTATTATTATTATTATTATTATTTCTAGTTATTACATACGACCGTACGTGGGTCGACAACACAATCTAACTCTCTGGGCCTTAAGTTATTGTTGGCGGCAAGTCATTGGAGTGCGGTCCATATTCGCGATGATACGTTATACGTATAATAATAATAATAATAATAATAATAATAATATGACCTTTCCGGTCGAAGGCTGCAAGTGGCGTCGTCGGTATTTTGCTGTTACTGCCGCCACACAGCAGCCGTTGATTTGTCACACGACACTTGCGTTGTGCTCGACTAGCCGATGATATTATTATTATTATTATATTGTCAACGCCTACTCGTAACGCACACAATATATAGAACCTATCGTCCGGCATATATATTATTATTCTAACACGTTCGTGTCGTCACCAGCAGCGCTATATCGCCATATCAATAATTTATTAAATCGATTAATTATATAATATATTGTCTCGTGCTACGTACCTGCTCGTATAACATCATATTGAACCAATAATATAATATTATTATCGGCTATAAAAGTATGTCGAGCTGTAGTCACTATTACCGTCATTATTATTTTAAGTTGAGTGTAAGAAGATCTGTGGTCCACTACAATACTTACGTCAGTAACTCATCGCTGTGGTTTAATTATTAGGTTTTGAATTTCCTTGAGGTCGAGTATTATTAGTATTACTGTGTCAAATCACACCGCCGACTCGGAGTTTGAAATGCTTTAATTCACAGTACCTATTCATTTCAAAAGAGTGATTTTATTTTACTTATACATTTTTATTCGTATAGAGACTTAATATACTACTGTAGGACATATTATATTTTATTATGAATATAATATTCATACTAGCGTATAATCAGCATAAATTACAATCCATTAGTAAGTGTAGGTATAGAAAATGTTTAAATAATGTCTGGCTTAAATAATCCCTAAATTAAAAGTTATAATTATTGTTTAATATACAGATTGTGAAAACATATTAATCATGATGTGCTATAGCCATAGGTTGATGAGTATCAATATGAGTATTAAACAACTGTCATATGTTATGTAAATATAGATTATGTTAAGTATACAACTGTGAATGACAGAATATATATAACTAAGCTGAGTGCCATATAAATGGAACTGTTAGAAAGCGTTTTCAATTTTTTATGTAAATTGTTTTCAAATAATTTTTTGTTATCTTCAAGCATTATATTTTTGATTCATTATTGTTATGATTATAGAATCAAGTGAGAAAATAAATATTTTTCGTCGCTCTTAGTTTTTTACAGCATTAAAATGTATTTCAGTTATTTTGATTTATAGTCAGAAACTGGCTGTTTTAATACCCGAATAAACATCTGAAAATAAGAACTTAATAAATTATTTATGCCTTCAAGACTATATTATAAGAACCATACAATAATAGTTAATTTTGTTTTTATAGTTTATACACATTTGAATGGGAATTTCAACGTTGAAACAATAATGAATAACAGAGCACAGACATTGTTATTTTATAGCGATGAAACAGACATTCAGACGAATTTAACAAATACAATAACTCTGACCATTATTGAGATAAAGTACAACAATTATTTGTATAAATGATTAATGATTTCATAAACGTCCATTGTATGAATTTATTGATTTTTCAGGACAAAGCTATTAAGTAGTATAACGCTATCATTTAGTTGTTGAACAAAGTTATGAAATGTGCATCGAGATATTCGTGTAAATCTAATTGCATAGCTAGATTGCTTACACAGTGCAATAGCACGGGGTTCGTGTTATCAAATACGTTTGGGTAAGAATGCTAACGATTGTTCCTGACGTACATGAATATATCTGATTACTGTACGTAGTGGAAAGGAAAGTGATGATAAACGTTTATGGGCTGTAATGAGTGTCAGCAGTGGTAACAGGGGTAAGAAAATACCGCCATTAATACAAACAATAGTGGACAAAAACAATTTGCGACTTTCGTGAGCCTCGTGGCTCGTCGGGAGTGGT